GCCGTTCCCGGTTTGGACTTACCGCTCCCAGCCTAGACGCGATAAGTCGAACCCAGAAGTTCGATTTCCAGCCGTCGAACTTGCCGGTAAGTGTAGCCAAGGCCTTAGACTCTAAATACATTCTGTGGGTGGCATACCCAGATCACTTATTCACTGACGCTTTAAAAACTCCCGCACTCCAATCTGGGTTTATGCTGGTTATGTACTATGTATGTCTCTTGTGAACCTTGTAACTGATACTTGTAATCTCTCATAACTCAAGCCTGACCCCAGATGTACAGTACCTTCCTTCTTAACCTGTGTAAACTTGATTTTAAACATTAGCTTTAATAAAAGTTTGTATATTTGTCAGTGTAAAAGCCTGATTAATGCAAAATCCACTCCCCCACGAGCTTGCTCATCCACAAATGTTTTCACTTTCTAATCCCACAGAACCAAGGGTTCATCCAGAGAGAAAACTAGGCATATTATATAGCAGCTATGTGATGCTTCTGTGCAACAGGTTTGTTTGACATACAGGCCAATTATCCCTTTGCCAGGTATTTAGGGCCTGATTTTTAAGACCAGTTAGACACAAAATTCCATATGCCTAATTTGTGAGTGCAAGTGCTTTTATTGTGCATGCAAATTGGGAAATTGTGTGCTCAAAAAGATAATAAGTTAATGCTGTACATATTCAAACATGGTAATTGCATATGCAAATTAGTCATGCAGTTGTAAGCCCAAACTGTCTGAAAATCTGCCCCTCTATTTGTTATAGTAACAATTAAAAAACAAACAAACATTGCAAGCTTATAATAGCTGGGATTCTCTAAATATTAGTTAAATCTGTTGTCTACTGTAGCTAATGTGATCTTTTTGGTACACAATACAAGTTTAGCATTTTCCCTTTGAAACTCTGTGTAAAACCTGCACTAGCACCAACTGCTGCAAATTAGGAACACAGTTGTTAGTGATGTGGTGCCGTAAATGTACATGTCATTTACAACAGAGAAAATGCATGTCCTGAAGAGCTGGAAAGGTGTGAGTGTGTGGATCACAGGTTGAACCACAGTGCGAATGCTTCATGATCAGGTGGGTTTTCATGAGATTTCTGAAGGTAGAAATGGAGGATGCTCAATGTATGTTAATTGACAGCTAATTCCAAAGGGAAGTGAGTCAAGAGATAGATAAGGGAGCAGGCAATCGGGAGTGGGAAGGGATAACGGACTTTCTGACAGTCAAAGGGAGTTCATATTGCCCCGGTCAGGCGGAACTCACTGCCTCATGATAGTCACAGACTGATCTTCAGGATCCCGCTCCTCCAGCCTGGTAACACTCCCCACGGACAGTCACACTGGGCCTAGGCTTGCATGGTCCCAGCTTGGTAGTACTCCCACCTGAGAAATCGCACTGGCCCATGGTTTGGGCTCATGTTTTTTCCCTTTTCTCTTTTTAGATGAGCAACAAAAGGTCCAATAGCTTCCGCCAAGCCATTCTGCAGGGGAACAGGAGGCTGTGCAGCAAGGCACTGCTGGAGGAGTCAGGACTAAGCCTGTCCCAGAGGCTAATTCGACACGTTGCGTATGAGACCCTGCCACGCGAGATAGACCGGAAGTGGTACTACGACAGTTACACCTGCTGTCCTCCACCCTGGTTCATGATTGCCATCACCATTGTAGAGGCAGGTATCTTACTGCGCCGCTCCTGGAAACCCCTCCCAGAGCACGAGCAAGTGTGGGGAGACTTTTACCTCACATGTACAGACCATGGCTCTGCCAACATGCCTGCTTCTCTTGAACCCGTATTGCCCCTGGGGCCACACTTGGTGCTCATTTGGTGATCTGCGTGAATAGGCCGTAGGGTGAAATCAACACATTCACTTTCACATTTAAATTGGAGATTTGCAGAAGTCTAGGTCATTCATCTGCTGCTTCCCACTGCATGAGCTTCTGGTGTGGTACCTCAGTACGGCTTCCAAGTTCTGCTTAAGTTAGTTGTCAATGGGCCACTAGGCAAAGGGTGGAGCCAGTGGTCCAGTCATCTGGCTGGAAAACCTAAAACCTCTTGTCCCTTTGGTCCAAATCCCCTTTAGCCTTTGAGCTAGATAAATTTGGTTTCTAAGGAGTTTACTCCATCCGGGGATCTTTAGAAGACCATACAAAGCAAGGTTCTGCATGGATGCTAAAGACT